CAAGATTTGTTTTCTTTCCTTTTTTCAAAACACATTGTGGCAATAAGAGTGATTGAAAAAACTATTTATATTTCGCATTTATACTTCATGAAACATTTAAAATATTTTTAGACACGGGAAAAATGAACAGTCACAAAATATGCTAGTCTACTCTCCACATTTGAAACATATTAACAGCACATTGTATCTCCAACTTAAGCAGTTATTTGGCAGAAAAAAAAACGTACAGACCTAGACATTGTCCAGACTAGTGCAACAGTAATTTTCGTTTTTTGCGTAGGTTACTGCATATGCGTCGATAAAGATCCCAGGTGAGAGCTTGGCCGTAATGTCGCTTTCAATGTGAAGGATCGCAAGAGATGAAAATCTGTCTGCTCAACCTGGCAGCGGGGTAACGTTAGGTAGTTTTGTTTTTTTTACAGCTTTTTAAAAAAAATGCGACTACCCGTTTCAGGCACCGGAAGGGCAATGATCCCCCTGCCCCCCCTGCAAACTCCGCGCCTGATCACTATGTCTACAAGAACTTGTGCATTTTTATCACACATCTTATTTACACAAAGAAATTAACTTGCATTTATCAACTGCCAACTTTTGTAGCTCTTACAAAAATTATATCTTTTAAAAGAAAAAAAGAGGAACTCTTAAAACACTGTATTTTATGAATAAGTCAATATACATGAAACCTTATTGCCTATAGACTATTTCACAAGATGTAAACAACACTGGTCCAGAAGCACTTCCTGTTTCAGTTTGTAACTGTTTTCTTTATTTCACATGTAAAGAAAACATCTTAAAGATCAGGGATGTGATTTTTCCGGATTAATCCGGAATTCCGGATTTTCCGACCTGAAAATGTGACCTACGTGAATCATGCAGATCTGTAAAAAAAAAAAAAGGGGGGGGGGGGTGTCGGCAGCCGGCAGCCGGAGTGAAAAGGAGAGAATATGAGGACATAACCCATAACTGGCTGACGTGCGTACAGAAAGTTCCTTTCAAAGTATCAACAAGGACGTATTTGCATTCAGCCAGAGAATGTCTAATTGGTTCAGCTTCTTCACCTGCTCAATTTCGTATCTCAGTCGCTCTCGCGCTGGTATCGTTGTCAGTTGACAAGAACATCACAGTTAGGTCACCAGGGCTGGGCGATATATCGATATATTTCAAATTTCAAACTAATGCGCTGTTCTGAGCGCGAACACCCGACGTGCTCATGCACTAAAAGCTTGTAACAGCGCCTGGTTGCTGGACTAAGTTATCTTTCGAGTAGTATTATTTCGCTAATACTCTCAAATATACACAAGGTTTACATAAGAACATTTGGTTATGTCCAGGGGTTAAAGTGGTCCGGAACTGCGTTCCAGCACCTCAGATAAATTAATAAATAAATAGATTAATTAATCTCAACGAATCTTGCTTCTCCCGATATGGACCAACTTCCCTTCCTCCCCGCTGAACGCGAGCGATAAACACAAAGTATAAACTATATAAAGTAAACTGTATAAAGTATAACAGCATAAAGTATAAACTATATAAAGTAGCTATAAACGCCTCGTCCGTTTGGAGAGGGGCGCGCGGAGCCCCGCGCTCGTGCGGACGCGTCTAGTTATACACAAGGCTTTACAAATGCTTGAAATGCACTTGCGGTGGTTGAGCGCGGTAAAGTTAGTTTTAGGTCCGAAATATTTCGCCTGACATTTGTTTTCCCTATAGCCGCTGTTTGGGTCTTACAAAGAGATCAATAGCAGGATTAGTTTTAACAAACCATTGTATATCGACATTAATATTCGTTCATTAATATTCAAAAATCACCTGCGTGCATTTAATGCTGCATAGAATCCTGAGAATGCATGAAATTCATGAAACATATAATTATCAATTATTTACTTCACTGACGGATGAAAATGTAAGACTATCAGTCAAAGTTCAGGGGGTTTAGGAGTTTAGGAGGGGAAGAAATAGGGCAGGATAAGGAGACTGAGAAAAATAAAGATGTAGATGAGAAGAGAGCAGGTAGGCTATTGACAAAATAATCGAATGCCCACTGACATGGTTTTAAAGCTATTTATTATCCTTTTTTTGGCCTTCAAAAGTCTTAAATGGCACATAATTTGGTCAGAGAAATCAATTTTCTCGGGGGAGGCCAACTGAAAGCAAACCGAGAAAATTGAGAGAAATCTGCTTGTCAAATGCTCCGTGTATATTAGACGTGTCGCGTACAGGTCTTAAAGTGACAGTAGCCCTAATAATAAAAATGAAGCCGCTTGTTCTTAAAGGGATAGTTGACCCCAAAATAAAAATTTTGTCATTATTTATTCACTGTAATGTTGTTCCAAACCTGTATTCATTTATTTCTTGTGCTGAACAAAAAAGAAGATGTGGGTAACCAGACAGTTGCTGGTCCCCATTGACTTCCATAGGGAAAAATTTAGTATGGAAATCACTGGGGTACATCAACTGTTTTGTTACCCACATTCTTCCAAATAACTTAAACAGAAGAAAGAAACTAATTCAGGTTTAAAACAACTTGAGAGTAAATGATGACAATTACAATTTTTGGGAGAACTATTAATGTTAAACAACAAAACAGAGGAAATCACTCACTGCTCTTGAGAACTTTAATAGTAGCTTTAATAAGAATCAATGTGCAGGGCTCCAGACTGCGACCAAATGGTCGCATTTTGCGACCAAATTTTGAGAGTGTGCGACTGAATTTTACATCCAGTCGCACATGTGCGACCAGTAAATTTGCCACACGTTAAACGCATGGTTAAGCGTGGAAGGGGCGCGTCAATGAATCCGTGACAAGAATCGCGCGCATAAACGTCTGTGGGAAAGAGACGGAGACATATCACAACCTGCTACGTGCGTCTGAGCAATAAGCGATCTATCGACTCGTTACCTAGCAGCGAATACAAACAAAATGAAAGTGGAACTAAAATACGATACTCGTGATTAGGACCGTCGAGCAGCAGCACCAGCGACCCGAACCACTGACAGTAAAAAAAGCCCCGAACTTGCCAGTCGCGGGCCGATCTCGCTCACGTGACACTGTTAGGAGATCCAGTGAATGAATCCATTGAATTCGCTTCAGAATTAATAACATCAACACCACGAGATCCAGTGACAACATTCCGATTCGGCGCAGAGTTCTGTTATAAACCATATATAGTAAGTTATAAGTAAGTTATTTAAGTTATCATATCAACAGCGCTGACGTGGAAACCAGGATAAACACTTATAGAAGGCTTTCAGTCCACTAAATCAGCAGCTCACCATGGATTTAGGCTAATGTTGTAACTTAACTCTAACCATAAATATGATAATGTGGAAGAAATAGTCAAACACTTACAAGTAGCCTACTACACATCTTTTTCTAGCACTTCAAAATCAAAACTATAATAATATATTTAAATATTTTATTTTTTGTATTTTTTATGTGATGATCAACACATTTTTTGTTCATCCTTCAAAGATTGTCCTAAAATAAACATTAAGATTTTTTAAGACTCTTATTTAAACATTTATTTAAAAAATAATAACACCATTGTAAACAGTAGGAATGTTTATTGGCTATTTTCACTCCATGTTTTCAAATTAATAGTTTTGTTTAGTTATCATTTATAATGTCTTAGGCCTAATATTAAATAAAGTTAATTTCATCTACACCCTAGTGATTTATTGTCAGCCCCAGAGCTACTAGATTTTTTTTCTTTTTTTTTTTTTTTTTGTAGAACTCGGTGTGAGTTCTCAGTTGAGGTGGTGCTGCTTTCAAATTTGAGTCTGGAGCCCTGTGTACTTGAAATAAAACAGCATATCATAATGTTAAGTCTATTTATTATTGTAGAATTTGTCAGTATTACAGTTGTTTTGGGGAAAATTTGAATAATTGCTTTGCGAGCTGATTTAAGGTGTGCCCCTAAATTTTCTGAGTGTGCTCCTAAAATTTTCAGTCAGGGGCAACAGCGCTCCTAGTAAAAAAAGTTAGTCTGGAGCCCTGATGTGTCATTTATACAGTGAAGACTATATTTGACTTTGATTGAACAATTGCTCTCACTTTGCGGAAAAGATATTGGGATGTATATCGATCGGTGGGGGGGGAGTGGCTCGGTATATTTTCCTGCTTTTTTGTCCTTAGCCAATCACATGCCTGAAAGATGTTTGTTTAACTTTTTGATTCAGTTTTATATGTTCTGTTGGTTGTATTTTATCCCAGCTCTTATGAAGTGTTAAAAAACTGAAACAGGAAGTGCTTCTGGACCAGTGTTGTTTACGTCTTGTGAAATGGTCTATAATTAGGCTATAGCAAAAGCAAAGGCCATAAACATAAAGTGAAACAAGTTCAACCTCAACACAAAAGACAGTATCAACAATGCCTCTATTCCCAGAGAGTGAGGGTACTTTTTTCTCTTGAAATTAAAGTGCAGGATTTGGAAACATTTGACTGAAGCTCTTATCTAAACATAAAGTGCCACTGTAGCGTTATATTAAAATATCATAACATGAAATCCAAAATGTTCCCACACACTGGACTTATACCATAGACTTATACTTATACCTCCAACTCCGTCATCTCTCCCACTTGCCATTTCTCCGCGTGCCGTGACCTGCAGCGCTCCATACTCCACTTTTACTGGCTTGTTTACTAACTTGAACTGGCGCTGCACAGAGCGATCGGTAATGACATCAAATACCGCGAAAGTGATTGAAAAGCATACGGAGCCGTCGCTCTCGCACTAGTTTGATGTTATTCACCGATCGCTCTGTGCAGCGCTGGTTCAAGTCGAACAAGCTTATGTCGCGCGAAAAGAAAACATGTCACATACGGGCACAAGGCTACATTGCGCATGCGTCGAACCGTGAGACGCACACACGCTTCGAACCGAGACAAGCGAACCGAATGGTTCGGGTGTTTTTTCATGTACCGTGCCACCCCTAGTGTGTGTGTGTGTGTGAGTGAGTGAGTGTGAGAGATGTGCTCTGATGCTGATGTGTGTGAGCAGGACAGCAGGGCTCCACTGGAGGATGACGAGGTCTGTAGTGTTTCCTCCGAGGACAGCGAGGTGCGTCAGCACCACAGAAGAAGAGCAGTGTGGGAGGATGAGGAGGATGAGCTGGAGGAAGAGTAAGGCTTCTGTTGCTGTGACACACAGGTCCTCCTCAGGTGTGTGTGTGTGATCTGCAGGAGTAAAGCTCTTGTGTTTGCAGGATTGACATGACGCATCGGTTCCGCAGAGACTTGAAGAAGAGCGAAGCCGAGGCAAAGATGACGAAGCAGAAGCTGCAGCAGAGACTGAAGGATCAGTACGTCACACACACACCACGACTGATGGACCAACAGTCTGATCTGAGCTAACACTCTGTGTGTGTGTGTGTGTGTGTGTGTGTGTGTGTGTGTGTGTGCAGGTTCCAGAAGGCGATGGGTGGCGCCCCAGGCTGGGCGGAACAGGAACGCCCCCGCCGGACAAGAGGTCAGTGTCATGTGACCCTCAGCTTTCTCCCGCCGGTCCCGAAGACTGCTAGTGAAGCTAACGCTGTCCTCTCATCCCCCGCAGGAGCTGAGCGTGAGGAGGAGGAGGCAGAGGATCTGCTGCGGCGCACTGGGAACTTCATCGGCTCCTCCGACACGCTTCCTAAAGGAACCATTAAGGTGTGTTAGTTACATGTGTAGATGTGTGTGTGACTTCAGTGTGCAGGTGTGTGTGTGTGTGACTTCAGTGTGCGGGTGTGTGTGTCACTTCAGTGTGCAGGTGTGTGTGTCACTTCAGTGTGCGGATGTGTGTGTGACTTCAGTGTGCAGACCTGTGTCACTTCAGTGTGCAGATGTGTGTGTGTCACTTCAGTGTGCAGATGTGTGTGTGTCACTTCAGTGTGCAGATGTGTGTGTGTCACTTCTAGGGCTGCAACTAACGATTATTTTGATAATCGATTAATCGGACGATTATTTTTTCGATTAATCGATTAATCGGATAAATTATATTCCATTTTTTTGTTTATTATAACAAAATAAAACCCTAAAAACCACACTCTTTTGTGTGTTAAACAATGTACTTAATACAGACAACTTCATTCTAAAGAAAAACAACAAATAAAAAAAATATAAATGACCATAACCAATGACAAAAATGCTATTGTAAACTAGATTAGTGGTTAACTCAGCAAAACTTAGCCTAGAAATATCACAAGTGCAGAATAATTTTATAAAATCTGAACATTTAGTGAACAAAAAACATTCCTTAGTGGACTGGGGAACAAATAAGAGACAATAAGTGTAGCACTAACTCTGGTAAAACGTCAGTGGTGGAGGAAGTACTGAATCTCAGTACTTAAGTAAAAGTACAAATACCCAGATAAATATTTACTTTAGTAAAAGTAGAAGTAACACAATGACAACCATACTTAAGTAAAAAGTAAAAAGTACTTTATTTTAAATGTACTTTAAGTATTAAAAGTAAAAGTACTTGCATAACAATTTATTATCTTAATGTCTATTTTCTAATGATTAATAAAACATTTAATTCTAACTCATTCAACCTAATAGCCTACTCCTATAATGATGTTCAATAATGATGGAAAAAAAATGTCACCATTTCTGAAACAAGCTTGCAATTAGGCAATATCATGCTTATCCTTACTATATGTTTAATAACTATGTTTGGCAGTACACGCGATTCATTTATGGTGTAATTCTGAACCTCTTGGCTTGCCATAATCCTAACCAAACGTATATTACTCACGGTGTGTTTCCTATGCACGTAAAAACTAATTTTCGCGTATGAGTTGCATGATAAACACACTGCGTGCAAGACGCATTTAGTGACCGGGTTGATATACTGTATCTATGGCAACCAAACGTCACTGGTGAGACAAACGTGCAACGAACGGACGGTCAGATTACGTTTTGGCAGGGGAAAAACTGATCAGAAAATGTAACGAAAATGTAACACAAGTTGTAGAAATGTAGTGGAGTAGAAAGTATAATAATTGCTGCAAAATGTAACGAAGTAAAAGTAAAAAGTAGGCACTATTTATTGTACTTAAGTAAAGTAAAGATACGTGAAAAATGTACTTAAGTAAAGTAACGAAGTATTTGTACTTCGTTACATTCCACCACTGTAAAACGTACACATTGCTCTTTGTATTGTGGTTATAGATTCATGAAAAACATCGTAAATATCAGATGCACAACTGTTTTAAATGTAAAGCACAGCTGTTTAGTGAGGAAGCAAAATATAATAGATAGGACAGAACAAGAAAGGCTATTAATAAGCTTTCATTGCGCAAAAGTATTATGACATGATCATGAAAGAGCTGCACAAAGTGCTTATGCGCATCGCGAGCCCTGAATGATGCGCTTGAAGCAACACGGAGTCACAGGGCGGCGCGCAGCTCTTCAGTGTCCGCCGCATTAAAGTTAAAAGCACCAAGACTGTGTATTATACAGTATCTATGCAATAGTTTATTAAGCCTTTTCTTTTAACAGTTTTAAATTTCAGTTAGGCTACTGTGCACGTGAAGAACAATTATACTGTGCCGACTCTACTATAGTGTTGTGATCTAACAGACACTCAGTAGAAAGTGATTAAGTTACAGCAATAAAAGTCTAGCAAGATAGAAAAACCATCATAGACCTTTATCTACGGATCAATTATAATAATAACAACATTGAATCATCTTGGAAACAGATCATCATGTTAACTGTTGTAACGCAACGCGCTGTTTGAACACCGAATAGAGGATGACTGACAGCCGCAGTGGAGGGAAAAGCTTAGGTTAACTTGAATTTAATGACTTAAATATACATTTCTATCTCACATTATACTATAGTATGGCTTCATAAAGTATACACGATTAACGTAGGTCACCTATTTTGGTTTCAAAACGGCGAATTTACCGAAAGGTGAATGATTTTCGTGTATGCTGCATATTGATAGCGGTTTCCTGATGCCCGCAAATTAGTTCAAACTCACGGAATCAAGAGCGCGCATGCGAGACAGAAGATAATGTGCTCCAAACCGTCCATGTTGCGCGCGCGAGACAGGGTAGAGCGGCGAGGGAGAGAGACTGCATTTGCGCCTCATGAAGCGGATGTAAGAAGCGCATGTTCCATGTAAACAATCCCCGTGACGTAATCAGACCAACTAATCGATAATGACATTCGTTGACAACGATTTTCATGATCGATTATAATCGATTTTATCGATTAGTTGTTGCAGCCCTAGTCACTTCAGTGTGCAGATGTGTGTGTGTCACTTCAGTGTGCAGGTGTGTGTGTGTGTGTCACTTCAGTGTGCAGGTGTGTGTGTGTGTGTGTGTCACTTCAGTGTGCAGATGTGTGTGTCACTTCAGTGTGCAGATGTGTGTATATCACTTCAGTGTGCAGATGTGTGTGTCACTTCAGTGTGCAGATGTGTGTGTGTCACTTCAGTGTGCAGATGTGTGTGTGTCACTTCAGTGTGCAGATGTGTGTGTGTCACTTCAGTGTGCAGATGTGTGTGTGTCACTTCAGTGTGCAGGTGTGTGTGTGTCACTTCAGTGTGCAGGTGTGTGTGTGTGTGTCACTTCAGTGTGCAGATGTGTGTGTCACTTCAGTGTGCAGATGTGTGTATATCACTTCAGTGTGCAGATGTGTGTGTCACTTCAGTGTGCAGGTGTGTGTCACTTCAGTACTATACATACACACACACTCATATTATATATTTATTGACTCTTATGTTGGATGTGATTGGTTGGTTTGTTTTATTTCTTGTAGACTCTCATTATTCAGGCCAAACTCTTGTGTGATGTTGAAGAGTTAGTTGTGTTGTTGTTGTTCAGATAAAGAAGTGTTTGGATGCGAACAGTGAGAGTCCGGCCGAGTCGAAGCTGACCTCAGTCCAGTTCCACCCGTCAGCTCAGATCCTGATGACCAGCTCTCTGGACCACTCCATATCTCTGTTCCAGGTGACACACACACCTTGACCACCCCATATCTCTGTTCCAGGTGACACACACACCAGGACCACTCCATATCTCTGTTCCAGGTGACACACACACACACCAGGACCACTCCATATCTCTGTTCCAGGTGACACACACACCAGGGCTCAAGACTAACAGCGTCCTATCGTCCTGGGGACGATAGAAAATGTGTTTAGGATGAACAGAAATATTCTCCAGGACAACGACAGGACGAAAGACATTTTGTGTGCGTGTTCACAGGGCTCGAATTACGGCGCAGGATTGCGGTATTGCGCATAATTCTAATCATTCCCGCAGGTCTCCTATTTATAATGCGGGATATTCCCGCAATCGTAATCCACACAGGTTCTAAAATGCCAGATGCAATTTCACAAACCGCGTGAGTGTTCAAAAAGTTTACCATTTGCATGTTGTCATGGACTATGATCCATTCAGCTTAAACACTCCCAAGAAACTCCAGGACACAGATGATTAATTTCCAGAAGTTTACTGGGAATCTTGTGAAACTGCAATATAGTACAATGACATGACAATATTAATAATCAAACCAAAAATACACAGTAAAAGTGTAAATAGCAGGGCTTAGCAAATATAGCAGTTTAGCCTATCTGATAATCACAATTGAGCTAGTAAAAACGACCAGCAGAAATAAACAAAGCTAATTTAGCCTTCTCAATAATTGTACAAAATTAAAATAAGCAGTAACTTAGTGTCAAACAACGATAAATACTCACAGACGTTGCATTAGCAAAGGGGGAAAAGGAAAAGCGATGGATTCAGAACTGACGACAGATAGAGCTCACACATTACTGTAGCCGCTCACCGCATGGGCATTTTTACTTCCTGTTTCCGCACATGCGCAAAACTGTATTACTATGGTTATGAACCTAAACAAACCACATGTAACTACTGATACAGATAGAGTGGCATGACACAAGTCTTACCAGTTTAAACATTCAAGCGATTTTAAACTAATCAGTGCTCGCGCGCTTTCTGGGATGATTTTCTATATGCTCACATTCATAGAAAATCCGCCTCAAGAACAGCTGAGCTGGGCAGTAACAAAAGTTATTTTTCACGGATTATATTGCTTTAACACGCAAAAATGTGTCAATTTCGGTCTTCGTGAGTATAATAGTGTAAACATAGTCGGTTCTGTCTTAAATAAAAAGCATAAAACGCATGCCAGTAGGCTATATAATGAACACAGAATCCGTGCACTAGCTCTTAAAGTGACAGCGACCATATGTGTCGGTCATTAATTTTGTCATCAAAACAACAAAAGAGAGCTTCAAGTTAAAGGAATCAGGATTAATAGCCTATGTGTTTACTTTATGTAGGACTAAAATACTATCCAGTGTTATTTTCCGTTTGATTACTTTATTCTGTTTCTGTCTATGAATACTAGTGTTAGACCTATTCAAAAACTTTTCTCTTTATTTGTATCTTTATTCTATTGTATTTATTTGTGCAATTTTTTTCTATTTAGTTGAACAATTTAAGCTTAATCAAGCTTTGTGTTGTGTAAATTCTTAACATTACCCCATTGTAAAAATGCAATGAGCGGAAACATTCAGGCAAGATAAATAATAATTTTGTGTGGCAAAAATTAAGGTATTTTTTTAAGTCACAGTAGTTAAATCTGTATCTGTATTGCATGTTCAAACTTTAAAATCCTTCATATTAACTGCTTAATAGATTGTTTTTCTTGAAGTATGTAGGTTTGGAAATTTTAGAGAAATTCAAAATTAATGCATTACAGTTGAACTAAACCCATTATATTTTAGTCATCTGAATTGTTTTAGTTAACTAACAGCTATGGATGATGATAACAAAGTACAGAAACAACATTGTTTCTGACTGTTGACATTCACTTTAGGACGGTTCAAATTGTTTTTCTGGACGGTTCCAGGACGGAGGTGAAAAAAGTTAGTCTGGAGCCCTGACACACACACACACACACACACAAACAGGCGCACACATCTTTTTAGAGACTCTCCATAGGCGTAATGGGTTTTATACTGTACAAACTGTATATTCTATCCCCTTATCCTGCCCCTATCCCTAAACCTACCCCTCACATTCTGCATTTTTACATTTTCAAAAAAACATTGCTTAGTATGATTTATACGCTGTTTTCCTCATGGGGTAGCCTGACTTCGTCATACTCATTTTCTATTGAGAAAATGAGTCTGAGACCGTTCCATAGGGCTTTGATTATGAGGCGTGTCTTAACCGAACGAGGAAAAAAAACTCTGCACTCAATTGGATAGTTGGACAGACCTACAACCAATCAGACAACGCAGTAAGTCAAATACTTTGCATAGCATAGCTGTCAACAACAGAAGAACTTGCTTATTTTAGAAGTAAAATAACGAGTGTTGCTTCTTTCACTTGGTCCTTCATCAGTGCGACCAAAGGAGAAACCACAACGACCACAGGCTTTTCATTACGTCCCATCTTCTTAACTTAGCGACCGTCAGAGCCAGCTGATAAGTTACACTTTTGCCGAATATCTTTCCGATCGACAAATGCCTTGATTGCAGTTTTCTGTTTGTCTATTAAAATGAATGCGCTGTCGATTAATTTTAAAAACAGACGCGACAGCGGAATCTATACATCTCAATTCTCTAGCTGCAGTCATCTCTGAGGGAAACTAGTTAGCGCTCTTTGATAACGTGATGATTACGTCCCTGCAGATCATCTGTCCATCATCGTATAAAGCCCGCCCTGGCAATCTGATTGGCCCGTTCATTTTTTGCCTGATCATAATTACTCCTCAATGGATCGAGTCCAGACCGAACTTCCCGACCAAAAAATGTTGTGGGCGGAGTTCGGGCTGGCATCCAGACTACTCATGGGGTCCTCTGGCTGGTCCCCACAATGTATTTTTTTATTTTTATTTATTTATTTATTTAATATGGACATAGCAATAACATTGGACGAACCAGATGCATTGTTTAAAGTGTAATAGCACATGTGCTAATTTTCAACACCTGTCCATAGGGGCTTTTACTACAGATAAAAACACATTATAAAACAAGACAAAGATCATTTACACATGGGAACAACTTTGGCCCGATTTCAGCCACTGTTTAAGGTCTCTGGTGAAGATGTTAATATTCCTCTGCAGTTTGAGTCCAATTGGGAGAGAATTCCATAGTGTAGCCCCTCTGAAGGAGAAGCTAGACTGACCAAAAGATTTTCTAAACTTCGGTATCACACAATCCCCACTAACTGAGGCTCTGGTGGAAGGTCTTAAAGAGCCCTGACGCCTCTCTATGAGGCCAGAGAACAGTGGTGATACACAGTTGTTCAAACATTTAAAAGTCAATTTCAAAATACTAAAATTTACAAAGTTTTCAAAAGTAGGTGTAGGTGATTTTCAGGTTTTATTATACTTGTGGGGACATTTGCTCCACAAAATGTAATATAAACAAGAACACACACACACACACCTGGACCACTCCATATCTCTGTTCCAGGTGAGACACACACACACACACACACACACACACACACACACACACACACACACACACACACCTGAATCAAACAGACCGTTCTCATCATGACTTGCGCTAGATCTGATTTCTGAAAAACACAAGTCTTCTTGCAAATGTGTTTGTGCCAACATCACTCCCGTTATGATTAGCAACATACAAAACATAACAAGTGCATTTTATGACAAACATTGTTTCAGTCACTCAGTCTGTTTTTTTTAAATGTTAAATAGTGCAATATTTATGAATTTGTGCTTATTTGGTTGCGAGTGCATAGACTTTGCCCACAGGCTCTTCTGATTGGCTCTGAGTGTGTGTTGATTTGGTTGAGTGCAGAGACTCCGCCCTCAGGCTCTTCTGGGGCTCGTTCTTCGTACGTTGCTTAAAACATTCGAGATCAAATGAGACATCTAAGATGAAATCATCGTGCTAATCATGATCCGGCTAATTGGGTTCTTCGAACACACCTGTTTATGATTAGTATCGCTGGATTGAGTTATCTGAGATAACTTCGCGTTGGTTTAAAAGGGGACATGTATCGATAGCAGAACCAGTGATCAGCAACGCTGCTATTGGCTGTTCAGCATGGCCAAAGAACACGCCCAATTTTTCTCCCAAGCAGAGCAAGCGCTTTTAATGCAAGGTTATGCCAAATTTCAGTCTTTAATTAAAACGCCAGGGAACACCTCAAAGTGTGCAAAAGCCAGGAGAGAGTGTTGGCAAAACTAGAAGACAAATTAAATGCGTTTGTGGTGGCCATGTTAGATGTTTTAATAACTTATTATTATTTTATTTTTATTTTCATAATTTCATAATTACTTTGTTCATTGTAATGTCGAGTCACCACACTATAATAATGGACATGGTGAAAGTGAAGTACAAAAATATTCTACTTAATGGTAATTTTACTAGGACTTATAGGCCTACTTGTCTCTTTTAAAAAGGCACTGTTAAATAAATGATTGTCTGTTTATAAAAGCAACCAGGAAAAAGGCTGAGGAAAAAACTAATAATGATGCTCCTGACCCTGGCAGAAGAGCTGACCCTTGGGTTGAATGTGAATTGCCCTGTTGTGAAGGGCATCCCTGGGTTCAGCTCTTCCAGACCCACATCAGGGACCAGTAGCAACACCTTCATCACTGGGAAATGAGATTTAAATTATCTTTGTACACTGTGAAATAATTTGTTGCTGCATTAAATGAAGTTGACCTATAATCCGAATTGGCTGGTTTAGTCATTTCAACTGTTAAATCTTGAGTAATGATAAATTGCTTTGTCTTGTGAAAGTAAAAACTGATAAACTTATGTTAATGTAAAAATATTTTGACGTGAGTTATCAATCACATTGCACTGGAGAGTGAAGAAAACTTCTCAGATGACTGTCCTTTGGAGGAAGTACTTTAATTTAATTGATGACTTTAATTGATTTCTACTTGTGCCTATGCCTATTATTTCTGACAGGAGTCCACATGTACAGAAAGGCCTACAGAAGAGTCTGCACACAGCAGTGATACAGGGGTGGGCAGTGTAGAGACAACTTTTCCTTTTTATTTGTTGCATGAGGCATGTGTGACACAAACGACAGAGGGTGAAATTCGTTCCCTATATGAGTCTTCAACAGAAAATAGAGTGTTTTGAAAAAAAAAAAAAAAATCAGGGGGAGAAACAGAACTTTACTAAGAAAAAATTGCACTAGAAATAGAGTTGCTTCAAAATAAACTTCAGAGTAAAATCCCACAGAGTACTATTGCTGACCATAATATCTTTTAAAAAGATGACTGAATAACTGGCTTTTCTTTACAAAGAACTATTGAAATAAAACTCTAAGCAAATAGAGTTTTGCAAATTTGTCTTGTCTTTTATTTTAAGCTTAATTAAACGTTTTTTTTTCTTTCTTTTTCTGTTGTTGGCAGTAGGGCTGGGTAATAAATATTGATTTCTCGATATTAATCGATTCTCATTTTTATGAACCGATATCGATTCTTAAATCTCAAGAATCGATTAGTCATCCTGTTTCATTTAAATGAATGGATCATTGTATCGCGGCTGCGCGCATCCAAAAAAATCGCAATAATCTTTGTCCTTTGTTACTATTGATATGAAACAAAGTCTCAATCTTCAAATTACGTCCATTTTCTTTAGAAATTAAAAAACATAAATAGCGTTTTGGCGCTGTGGCGTGAGATCGCTCTGGAGAAGCAGCAGCGCTGATCTCTCTTCCGGGTTAATAATACCAGTTACAGCAAGAAATAAACATGAATGAGCATCTGAAAGTGTGTTAAAGATAGAGTACAACTTATCCAAATCTGTATCATGGCACATTGATTCGCTCAATCAGCGTTTCAACCGTGGAAAGACGTCAGTTAAACAGCTTGTAATCAATGTCATCGTCATATTTACCTCAGAAAACCCACATAAACTCGTTAGTCCACACTCGTTAGTGTTCTTCAATATTTAATGCATATTTGAATAAATCTGGCAAGTTTTTATGACAGCCACCATTTAAATGTTTATATTTCATGTAATCTTCTTATTATAAAAATAAAAAACAGTGTAATTTAAGTGTTTGTATAGCTACAAAACAGTTAATTATTACCTTCATATTAGGCTAATGAAGCCTAGTAGGCTACAACTAGACTCCCATAGTTTACAGCATTTAAGAGATTTGATTCCCTTGAGAAAATTTGCCATTTATTGTAACTGATATCCAAAATAATCAATATTGAATCGAATCGTAATCAAAATCGAATCGAATTGCAAGCTTGTGAATCGAAATCGAATCGAATTGTGAAATTTGTCTCAAAACCCAGCCCTAGTTGGCAGTTTTGTGTAATATGGCACATGCAATGTCACAGGCCCTGTCAGGTGCAACCCTCAGGCTTTTTAGATCCTGAAATCTTCCCTTTAGTTGGCCAAAGCTCATGTCATTGTGTGTCATTGTGTGCCCTTGTCCTAGAGCTGCATTGTAACTGGTTTGGGTCAGGGAATGGGGTCATACAACACCTGTCTCCATGCAGGATCCTGTTGTAATCACCTGTTTAATGGTAAAATGCAGTTCTCAGCATAAGTGTATGTAATACCGTGAGTTTGATATTTATAATTTTCCTTACCATGTTCAAATAATTTTCATAAATGTGAATCTCTTAAAATTCTTGAGTCATGCACAGATCCTGGCCATTTTGCTTTCACACTGATTTGTGATATAGAACATGGTCACACACCATCTAAGAGATTTTACTCGGTCAAATGCCTTTAAAAAAAAGTGATATAATATTCCAAATCTGGAATATTAAAAATTTTAATATTTTGTAATATTCTCATTTTCCACTACATATTTTCCTCTATATCTTATCAGCAATTTCGAATTCAGCACGCTCTACAGCAGCTAAGCACAGAGCGAGTCTATGGAGCGAATGTATAGTGACATAACTGCCAGATTCAAACTGCGTGCAGCTTGCGCTATGGCTGGCACTGAGCCAAAGACGGACGCGTGCAGCGCTTGTCATAGGCTAAATCACAACTGTTCAGTGTTTTTAACTTTTAACCACATGATATTTATTTTAGGTTTCAGACATTTAAATATATATAATATATTATATATACTCGCCGATCAAAAAAGGCTTTGGCGGGACAAAAAGCGGACGATCCGACAGATTTTGGACGGCCGATGCCGTCTAAACATTGTGATGTCTGTCAGCCATCACGACGGACGATGACATCGTCAATCGGCCCGACCCAAGTTGATTTCAGTCCCACCAGAAAAACGCGATTATGCGATCGCTGAATTCAATGCATAAACAGCCAAAGTCTGCATATTCATATTCTGCATTATTTTTTTCAAATACGCCGCACTTCCACTGCAGAAATTGCTGATTTCAGTGCAAAATATGCGGGGTTTGCATGATTTCATAATCCTTGCATTGTCGTTGCAAAAAAGTCACATATATCTTAGCAGAAAGTTGAAAATGTTCACAAATCGAACTCGTATAACTGTCTGTCACACGTTCTACTAGGGGTGGCACGGTACATAAAAAAACCCGAACCGTTCGGTTCGCTTGTCTCGGTTCGGAGCGTGTGTGCGTCTCACGGTTCGACGCACGCACAATGTAGCCTCTTTCCCGTATGTGACGTGTTTTCTTTTTGCGCGACATAAGCTTGTTCGACTTGGACCAGCGCTGCACAGAGCGATCGGTGAATAACATCAAACTAGCGCGAGAGTGACGGCTCTGTATGCTTTTCAATCACTTTCGCGGTATTTGATGTCATTACCGATCGCTCTGTGCAGCGCCGGTTCAAGTTAGTAAACAGTAACAGTGGAGTATGGAGCGCTGCAGGTCACGGCACGCGGAGAAATGTCAAGTGGGAGAGATGAGGGAGTTGGAGGATGCGCCAGCGTCGTATAAGTCTATGGTATATGTCCGGTGTGTGGGAACATTTTGGATTTCCTGTTATGATATTTTAATATAACGCTACAGTGGCACTTTGTTTAGATGAGAGCTTCGTGTTTCCAAATCCTGCACTTTAATTTCAAGTAAAAAAAGTACCCTCACTCTCAGGGAATAGAAGCATTGTTTTTTGTGTTGAGGTTGAACTTGTGTTTCACTTTATGTTTATGGCCTTTGCTATTGCTATAGCCTAATTATAGGCAATGAGGTTTCTTGTATCCCAGATAAACAGTAATTCTGAGGCACTCAAAAGGAAAATAAATATAAAAAGCCTTTATTTAAACTTGGCTATGCATTAAAAACATATGCAAACATGTTTCGGCCTCATTGGCCTTCTTCAGGGCAAATTCAAAATGGCAGTCAGTAGACTGCAAGCTATATATCTGCATGTAGTCCCATGACCTAAAGTCACAGGTGCTCATCTGCACATATCACCTGACCAAGAGCAATAGGAACAACTTACTTTAGATAAGACAGATCACATTTACATATCAGAATAGTTTAAAATATCAATATAAATGGATACATATAACAAGAGGTTACTTTATATGACAAATTACAGAAAAAAAGAGTACATAGTAAAAAAATAAAATAATAATAATTTCATACTCTAATATGTACAGTCTCCGACGTTAAATACCTTTACAATTTCAAAGGATTAAACGCATATGTGATTTTGAAGATGTTTTTGAAAAAAATGCTCAAGACATGGTTCAAAGGTTTAAGAAAAGAGGGTATAAACATAAGACTCTAATATCTAGAGTAATATCTAGCCTACAATAGAGTAAAATAATTTGGTAGAGAACAGCTGATGGTTCAAAAACAGGGGCGACAACAAGAGCCAAACCAAGTTTTGTTACACAATACAGTAGTCAAGCTAATAAGATAAAGCAAATTATCAAGAAGAATTGGGATATAATAAAAAGTGATACCGTGTTGAGAGATATACTGCCGGAGGTACCTACTATCACCTTTAAACGAGCTCCTACTCTAAAAGATAGTCTTGTGAAAAGCTATATGCCTCCTGTAGAGAATAAAACATGGCTAGGCAAAATAAGAGGTAATTGTAAGTGTGGAAACTGTAATCATTGTAGCAATATGGTAAAGACCAATATTTTTACAGATGTGACATCAAATCGCGAATACAGTATTCATTTATTAATTGCAATACCTCATTCGTTGTCTACAGACTTGAATGTCCTTGTGGTTGTTTTTATATTGGAAGAACTAAGTGTAAACTTAAAGAAAGATTAGCAGAGCATAAATATACAATAAGAACAAGCAACTACCAGTACCCTATGGCTCTACATTATAGAGAGGTGAACCACGGAAGTAGCGATACTTTAAAAATCTTTGGGATAGAACATGTTAAAATATCACCAAGAGGGGGAGATAGACTCAAAATTTTGCAAAGAGAATCTTTTTGGATTTGCACTTTAAAAGCTAATCAATACCCAGGTCTAAACATGGAATTGGATTTTTCTCCTTTCTTGTAACTGGCTATATGCATACGTTTATGTTTTGCTTTATGTATCAGTCTATATAGATATTTAAAATTGCATCTTGATGTGAAAAGAGGTAAACTATAGAAATTGTAATGGTATTTAACATCGGAGACTGTACATATTAGAGTATGAAATTAAATAATTTTTTTTTTTTTACTATGTACTCTTTTTTTCTGTAATTTGTCAAAGTAACCTCTTGTTATATGTATCCATTTATATTGATATTTTAAACTATCCTGATATGACTCTATCCTGATAGACTCTGCCCACAGGCTCTTCTGATTGGCTGTGAGTGTGTGTTGATTTGGTTGAGTGCAGAGACTCCGCCCACAGGCTCTTCTGATTGGCCGTGAGGGGGTTGATGGTTCTGGTGTGGACTGTGCTGGTCTGGTCAGTTTTGAAGGACCTGCTCTACATGATGATGATAACCCTGCGGTTCCTGGTTTCCAGGTGGATGGCAAGACCAACGCCAAGATCCAGACGATCCACCTGGAGAAGTTCCCGGTGAACAAGGCGGCGTTCAGCGCTGACGGCGAGCAGATCGTGGCGACCGGCTGGAGGAACAAGCTCTTCTACATCTACGACATGATGGAGGGCAGAGTCATCCCCGTCTCCAACGTACGAGGTGAGCGTCCCCAGGCCACTCGTGTGGTGTGTGTGTGAAGCATGTTTCCCCTGACCTTGGTGTGTGTGTGTGTATGTCAGGTCTGAATGAGCAGAAGGTGTCAGACTTCCAGGTTTCTCCCGATGGGAAGTTTCTTCTTCTGTTCGGATCCTCTGGGTTTCTGCATCTCATGAGCTCAAAGGTACAGACTCACTCGCTGTAATGCAGAGATTTGTGTGTCAGTGCCTGCGCTCGGCTGCTGAGTGACGTGTGTGTGTGTGTGTGTTCCTCAGACCAGGGAAGTGGTGCGCAGCATGAAGCTGAACGGGACGGTGTGTGCCACCGCCTTCACTGCAGACGGCAGCCAGATCTTCGCCAACTCCGGTGAGTCTCAGCAGGGTGTGCTCTAATATTTTGTTGCCTTCCTTTATTTCCTTCCTTTATTTATTTATCAGGGACAATGCACAAAATACATTAGTCTTACGAAGAGATGTTTTGTGCCAGAGCTAGCCGAAGCTAATTTTCATCCGCAGTCCCCGGTCAGGTGCACACAAATTATAAAACATTACATTACAAAACAACTATCAATAGTAATGTAAGCTACACATAATATTAGTCTATGAAGGTCATGTATAAAAACAATCAGGTGTACAAGATGAGAGAACACATTCAAAAGACCATCTCTACCCATAATATATACATTAAATGCACTGATGCTGACACAGCTGGTTCTCAAGAATGTATTTCTTTAAGTTTTGAGAAAAATGGTTCACATCTACAGACAGCTTTAAACTGTTGGGGAGTTGATTCCATTGTTTTATGATTTTAAATGAATAAGCTGTCCGTGCAAAGGCGTAGGATCTTTTCGGGATAGCCACATTTTTGTGAACCGTTGATTTGAGATGTTCGGTTTGTTTGTTCTGAATAAAGTTTTATGAATTTTTTCAAAAACAGTTCTTAAATTTGTAAATAAAATTAGGGAATCAAAACTTAGTACTTTGTATTTACGTAAAATATTGCAATGATGATAGCCCTGGGCTTTTCTGTCAAGCCCCCTTAACGCCTGATTTTAGACTGATCTGAGTGGTTTAATTGTGGTCTCGTTGGCCTGAGACCAACAGGACAAACAATAAGTGATGTGAGAAGAAATTATGGCATTAAAAAACATGAAAGCTGCCTCAATTGTCAAACTATTCCTAATATGTTTGAAAATAGAAATTTCAAATAGAGATAATTAATAGAGTTAGACATTCTTTTAATATGTTTTTAAAACTTAATGTTTGAGATGGACACCTAAATATTTATCTCTGTCACAATGGTAATTTTTGCCCATTAAAATAGGTGTTAGGCAAATTTTTACATTTGTTTGACTTAGCAAAATACATTCCATCAGTTTTTTAGTATTTAGTGTTAAGCAAGAAGACTTTAGCCAATTTCTTATTTTGTCCATAGCCCTCCCATGTGTGTAGATGACGGCATCATCTGTATACATGATGATATCCACGCCCTTGCACACAGCTGGGAGATCATTGATATAAATACTAAACAACAAGGGTCCCAGAATTGATCCTTGCGGGACCCCAGTTGTGCTGGGCTTCAGAGTGGACAATATATTTTTTAACCTCACACATTGCAACCTGTTTGCAAGATATGATTGTATCCAATTTAATGTCTCTATAGACAGATTATACTTAGAAAGCTTAGACAGGAGGACACTGTGGTTCACCGTGTTAAATGCTTTTCGTAAGTCCAAAAACACGGCCCCCACTTTGCCCCCTCCATCCAAGCTGGCCTTTATATTTTCCGTCAGATAGCAGCAGGCTGCATCGGTGGAATGATTGCGTCTAAAGCCGAACTGCATGGGGTGCAACAAATTATTACAGTTGAGGTAATCAGTTAGCTGCTCTATGATGGCTTTCTCGAGTATTTTAGATATTACAGGCATTATGCTAATAGGCCTGTAGTTGCTTATTTCAATTTTACCTCCATATTTGTATATTGGGGTTATAACTGCTGTTTTAAATACACTGGGAAAGATGCTCTCTTCAATAGATTTATTCACAATGTATGTAATAATCGGTGTTTAAAGCTCCCCATGTTTTTTAATGAGAGAGCAATCAATTCCCCAAAAGTCTTTTGAATTTGATAGGGATTGTATTATTTTCAGTGGAGCAGATAGGATTTTTTAACTGGGGGGACCAAGCTGTCAGCAAATGATTTCAACTCAATTAGTTATTTTGCGTAATTCGGGCTTTAACTAGTGTTTAAGTAGTTACTTTGCGTAAATTTGGGCTAATGGTTTGCACTAAAAGCCATTGGGGGATTCTTATTTGAAATGAAATTCATGGAAAAAACAACAACAAACAAAGATAAACAAAAGCCTACCTGATCACCACTAGCAATGCTTGATCAGACTGTTATTTGACTAGTATGCCAGTCACCCACCAAAACTTCATGTCTTCACCAAAGTAGGTTTTATTTTAACTTTTGCTAATCTCAGCATTCACAGTTTATCATTATGAACAAAAAAAGGAAAGAACCAATAATAATAATATAGCTGCGAGCAGCGATTGCGGGCCCAAGCCGGTATCTGATGGCGGTATCGCCGGCTTTGGCCCTTCATCGCTGCTCGCAGCTATATTTATATTTATATATATGTATAGCCGGTGGCGCCGCCACCTTGGTGCCTTTAGGGTTATTCTGCACGACAAGCAAAAAAGTAACCCCCGCTTTGACTGTCGAAAAGAAGTGTGCTGTAGAGCTTGCATCAATGCGGACTCGACGCGCTGCACGCTGTAACTCCATGTGGCTTTAAGCGCATCATTCTCCACTCGGGATGCGCATATGTGCTTTGTGCCGCACTGTACTGAGCCTTTCATATCATAATGCAGTGATGCAATGACAGATTATTAATTGCCTTTCTTGTTCTGTCCTATCTATTATATGTTAATAATAGATAGGAAAGAGCACTAAAAACCTCAGAGCACTGAAAACTTAAGCTGTTTGCTGAATGTGTAGTCTGAGAATGAGCTGTTTGATTTGCACCCTCTTCTTCTTCACTGTCCTCCGTGAAAACCAGCTATTCAGGTCCATGTTGTTCTAGAAATTTGTATGTTGCTGCCTCATTAAACATCTGTGCTATACATTTAAAACATGTTGTTTCAATTTTATAGTAGCCATGGCTATATCTATAATAACATATCTTTTTGATTTTTGATCTTGTTTTTCATGAATGTATTTCACAACAATACAAAGAGCAGTGTGTATTATCCACTAATATAGTTATAATGGCATTTTTGTCATAGATTTTAATCATGTAATTTTTGGATTTGTTGTTTACCTTTTATAATGAAGTTGTTTGTATTAAGTAGATTGCGTTTAACACACACAAGAGTGATTATTAGTTCAACACATAGTTATAGAAATTCTACTTTATCTAAAAAAACATACACTTTATTAGGGGTGGGCGATATGGAAAAAATATCATATCACGATTTTTTTAGGAAAATCACGATTTTTTATCACGATTCTTTTTCAAGTTGGTTTTAATATTTTGCAAGTGGCTATTCATTACAGCCAAACTAATGTCCCTATGTTAAAAACAAAGCCTTAGGTAACAAAATAAAAAAGAAAGGCATACATTTAGGCCAGTGGCGAAAATAAAATTCTTTGTCATTATTTTCTTTGTTATTAAAAAAATAAGACAAGATAAACATTACACAAATTAATATTCAAATTAAATAAATAGTGCTTTATTTTTCGGATGCACTAGGTGTATTTAGCAGTAGCATTGAAGAAAGTAATTAAATTAAACAAATATGAAATTAAAACACTACAGAGACTTCACTGAATAAATTCATTCTTATTAAAGCTACTATTAAAGTTCTCAGTCAGTGAGTGATTTTCTCCTTGTGTTTTTTTTTCTTTTACTAAAGAGATAGTTCCCTCAAAAATGAAAATGGTCTTAATTTACTCCCTCAAGATGTTTTAAACCCGAATAAGTTTCTTTCTTCTGTTGAAAATAAAAGTTATTTTGAATAATGTGGGTAACCGAACAGTTGCTGGTCCCCCTATAGTTTTATATTGGTTTTCTCCTGGAAGTTAATGGGGACCAGCAACTGTTTGGTTACCCACATTAAAAAAATCGTTCTTTTGTGTTCAGCACAAGAAAGAAATTAATACAGGTTTGTAACAACATTAGAGTGAGTAAATAATGACAGATTATTATTTTTATTTTTTTTGGTGAACTATCCCTTTAAGGACGTGCGGCAGTACTATTTATTCCTGTCGCTTTGACCAGCACGCGACGCGTTTAATATAGACGCATATTACACCAGATATTCTCTCAAATGTTTGCTTTCACTTTAGACATAGCCTGTTTATGTAAACATTGTGTGTATTTAACAGTATTAGCATAATAAGACTCAAAAGATAACTTAGTCCAGTATTCAGGCGCTGTTTGACAGGCTTCTAGTGCCTGTGATTGTCGTGGGTAATTTATGCGGTCAGGAAAGCGCACGTTAGAACAGCACATCAGCGCCTGAATTAAATGTTTAACCGGCAAGGCTTATGCAAATAATGAACTTTTGTGAATTGCAGTGTCCCGTACCTGTTCATTAACGTGTGATCATGTGTAGGCTGCGTCGCGCTGTACAGTTGAGACGGGGCGCCAGAACTGAACTGATAGAATGCACTGTAACACGATACTACGATATTTCTTCAAAAGCAGATCGTGGAGACATTTTAATCGTCCACGATTAAAAATCGTCATATCGCACACCCCTACACTTTATACACACACACACACACACATACATACATATATATATATATATATATATATAAAGACAGAGAATATTACTTGCTTTACCTGATTAGAATGCTACCTTGAAAAACAAACATTTTAATTAAATCTCACCCAACAGAGAAATCCCCCTGCCCCCCCCCCCCCCCCCCTACACAGAATTGTCATCAAACAGAGCACTAATCTTTTTTTTAAGTTACACATTCTACATTGATTAAAAAAAAAGAAACGTGTTTTTAGTCAGAGTATTATTTTATACAGAAACAAATATTTGTATTTCAGATGAGAATGAGGTTAGTGTTTAAAAATTTTAATGAAAACAAATATATTGAAATATAGCACATGAATTTTAAATTCATTCAGCTTCAATTACAAATACAATCTTACTTTTATTTAAAGCAAACTATACATTTAAAAGATGGGGGTTATATGCCTATTTTGTCATTTAAAAAAATACAAAATTGTTAAGCAAAAACACAAGGACTTAGAGACAAGGACTTGTAGGAAAAATCGCAGCCAGCCACACACACACACACACACACACACACACACACACACACACACACACACACACACACAGACACACAAAGACACAAACACAGACAACAGCCCTCCCCTCCT